CTAGAAATGATTTAAAGAGGAGAAATGAGCAAAAATTGAGGAAGGTGCCCTAGGACATTAGCATAATACCATATGCACAACCTATTCATTCTAAAGGCAGGGGTAAAGGAAACTGCTTCAATTCATTGACATAATGAAAAGAGTTAATTATCTGATAAAGCTAATAAAATATTTTAAAGGTGTTTTTAGTGCTGAAAATTCTTATGAATGCTTGAAAGGCTATTTTGAATCTTAAGAATGAATGCAGTGGAGAACTTCAAGCAGGAGCAATTTCATTGTTAATGTAGTAACACAGCTGTACAAAACACTAGAAATAGCTGCTTCACTATGGACAGGTGCACATATAAAGAATCATTAGTTTCATTTTTACAAGCTTCATACATCTGCTTTGAAAGTTGCCCATGGCTACCTCAGCAGGGATAAAGGGATGCTTTGCACAGCCTTATAATATCCAGAATAACAGTACAAGAGGGGGGTCACTTTTACAATTTGTTCTTACTCCATTATTGCTTCTCCATAGTCAGTTGTGAACAGTGGTCTATAAACACCAAGACTCAGCATTTAATTTGTTTTACTTGAGTCTCCATAAAAATAAAAACAAGCATCTGGTTCCTCTGAATCAGAACATTCTTTTTATACATATCTATACTTTAAGATACATAAAAATGAAAGACTAAAAAAAAGAAACACAAAGCAAACTAAATAAATAAAACAGAAATATAGTGAAAGTCACTTGATCCAAATTTTAAGCAGATCATTAAACCTTGATAACGCAAGCAGTATATTGATCAGACTTCCCATTATACTGATAGCCACTTTATAGATGGAAAATGAATACAGATTGTAATAATGGGCTGTACTATCTTTCCAGCATTGAAGAATAAACTTTTTATCCAATTATTGTCAACTATTTATAAACTCAAGTGTGCAGATTAGTTAGACATTATTAGTGCTAATAATGTCTAATTTATGGCCTCAATGTTCTATTGATATTGGGCAACAATATTGGAAAAAAAGGTTTTTGTTTCAAAAAATATCACTACATCAATAGCACTTAGATTTATATATTGCTTCATAGTGATTTACAGCACTCTTTAAGTGGTTTACAGACTCAGCATACTGCCTGCAACAATCTGGGTCCTCATTTTACCAACCTCAGAAGGATGGAAGACTGAGTCAACCTTGAGCCAGTCAGGATAGAACTCCTGAAGTACTGCATTCTAACCACTGTGCCACCATGGCTCTTTATAAAAGTATGATAGTATTGCAGCAAAAACATTAATGTATATTATCTATGGAGATTCTTAGTCATCCATATCATGGTTGTTCCAAAGATGCTTTTTTCAAAAAGCAATTAGACTTTTTTTGTTTTTTCTTGAAGACATTTTGCTTTTCATTGAAGAACTGAAGAAAACTGAAGAAGCTTCTTAGATGAGAAGTGAAATGTCCTCAAGGAAAAGTCCAGTTGCCTTTTGAAAAAGCATCTTTGGAAAATTAATGTATGTTCTATAATGTGCATCCTATACCACTCAAAACCAATAGCCTTTCCAGTTCTCATAGATTTAATGGTATCATTGCTTGAAGACATATGAAGTTCATATAAAAATATTATGTGACTAAGTGTAATATTTGAAAGACTATATTGTTTAAAATGTGATCATTATTTCTTATAAATGTTTTCCCAAACAATAATAATATGCAAAATATATTTTTTAAAAAAATATAGAAAGCTAAAAATCAAATTTCTACTGGGATTTCCTTATGAGGCATATTTAAAATGGAGTACATGGATTTATTTTGTTCCACACAAAGTGTACAGTCTTTCTATAAGTGATAAATTAAAACCATAATCATTAAGACCACTATCATTATCATCAAAATTGTCCTTCCTCTAATTCAGTCCTGTAGCAATAAACTTCTCTAAAACATCTGGTGTAAATACTTATTCATGTAATAATCTACCTATAAACAAAAAACTGCTAGAAAAAGAATTCAGATGTTGTTGTTGTTGTTGTTGTTATTACAGCCATCCAGATGTTTAGACTGGATTTGGTATTTTTGTCTACCTATCGAATTCTTATCAAGGACCTGAGATAGGCAGATGTAGATGTTTGATGGTATTACAAATATCATCACTGGATGGAAGCTGTTTCTAGTAAAGCCGCCTTTTGCAATTGACCGATGGCAAATTTGTTAATGTCAAATTCCAAATTATGCCAAATAATAATAATAATAATTATTATTATTATTATTATTATTATTATTATTATTATTGATCATCGCACAGTCAGCCAGATGTTCAGACTGGATTTGGCAGGTTGCTGGAATTGGGTATGGTTTAATGAAGAGAAGGACGAGGGGTGACATGACAGCAGTGTTCCAATATTTCAGGGATTGCCACAAAGAAGAGGTCAAGCTATTCTCCAAAGCACCTGAAGGAAAGACAAGAAGCAATGGATGGAAACTAACCATTATTATTATTATGGATCATCGCACAGTCAGCCAGATGTTCAGACTGGATTTGGCATTTTGTGTACCTATCGAGTCCTTACCCAGGACCTGGGATAGGCAGATATGGATGTTTGATGGTATTACAGATATCGTCGCAGGATGGAAGCAGTTCCTAGTAAGGCCGCCTTTTGCAATTGACTAATAGCGAATTTGTCAATGCCAATGGTGTTCAAGTGGTGCTCCAATTGTTTTGGGGTTGTACCCAAAGCGCCTATGACTATTGGTACTACCCTTGCTTGCTTTTGCCACAGTCTTTCTATTTCTATTTGTAGGTCTTTGTATTTTGTTATCTTCTCCAGTTCTTTCTCGTCTATTCTGCTGTCTCCAGGCACTGCCACGTCCACTATCCAGACTTTTTTGTCTTTCTTATCGACAATTGTTACGTCCGGGGTGTTATGTTGCAGGTGCTTGTCTGTTTGAATTCTGAAGTCCCAGAGCAGTTTAATTTTGTCATTTTCTATGACTTTCTCTATTTTATGATCTCACCAGTTTTTGCTTACAGGCAAATGATATTTTTTGCAGATCTTCCAATGCATCATTGTTGCTACTTTGTCATGCTGTGCAATCTTCTTGCAACAGCTTACCAGGTGGTCCACTGTTTCTTCAGCTTCTTTGCATAGGCGGCACTTACTGTCTGTTGTTGTTGTTATTATTATTATTATTATTATTATTATTATTATTATTATTTAGTTATCAGATGAATTTGCCTCAGTAACTTTAATTTCTGAACTGTCAAAGGATGGGAGGAAGGCATCTGGAAAAAAAATCATTATCATTTTTGCCTTCTGTTTGAGAGATCTCACTTGGCAAGAGTGAGAAATGCAGAAATTTCACAAGAGAAACACAGAAGGCTGGATCTACTGTAAGTGGAAGTGGAAACCAGCTTCAAAAATAACTTCTTTTTCAAGCACCCACTTGAGCAGCAGTAAAAGCAAATGGCATTTTTTTTTTCTCTCGGAATGCTGCTATAAGCTTATCTTGCTCATCATTATAACAAATGTTTAGAAATTGGAAATTATCTCAGTGATAATTGAATAAATGGATTGCTTCATTTTGAATCTGCTTGTTTCCTTTCAAAAGATTTTCCACATCTGTAGCACAGCAATTATCACAATATTTCAGCAAAGTATTTCTTGTTTTATATGAATTAATCTTCAGAATCTTCAGTTCTGCCATGTTTTGATTTAAAGCATTACATCAAGTTCTAAACTTCAGATTCAAATTATGCACAAACATTTATCTGCATGAATTCTTTCATTCTAAAAGCTTGTAAATAATGTGAAAGAACTTTCAAGGCAATCGGAAGCCCTACTGAATTTTCTTGTTTTTCTTTTGGAGGTTGGAACCAGCTTTAGCTAGAGGTGTTCACTGATCAGAAAGGTGAGTAGATACTTTGTTTTTTCTGCCATCTCTATTTTGGACTAAAAATATATGGCATATAAGCCAGAAGTTTAGACAGAAAAAAAATCATGTTTTCTGTTCCCCATTAAAGAATAAAGCAATCTAGAAGTAAAGAGATTACCATTTAATCCAGGATTCTAAATCTAAAGTTAGCATCCCACCACGTCAAAAAGAAATCACAAATCATTTTCAGTTATTCATTATTAACTGCTCAGGTTCACTAAGTGCTGTAGTTATTAAATTAGTATTTAATGAATTTTAAATTTCTTTTAAAGTTCAATTATTCTTCTATTTTATTTTGTAATTCTTTTTTTCTGAGATTGTATAGACAATCAATTATTTTTAATATGCTATGCTGTTAATTGTATGGTAAGTTTAATGTATAAAAATAGGATTAATCAAACCATCCTGAAGGTGTATTTTAATAGATCACTGCTTTTAAAATATGGCCGAGTTAACTTGGGAGCAGAAAGAACTCCACTAACCATTTATTGAACATGCTTCCCTTTGATTTAACAGTCTCAAGATGGCAAAAGAATGCAAATTTATATCATTTAACATTCTGCCTTTAATTATTATGTACATAAGGCTCAAATAATCTATTCATATTCGTGACTTGGAATTTTTGTAATGTTTATTGGGAAGATCGATAAGACATTTTAATTAAGAATTACTGGCAGTTTTTAACCTTTCATGATCAAAACCTTTAGGATAATATTCTTACTTAATGGTAGTCACAGAACTAGCAACTGTATCTATGTGTTTTGAATTCAGTCTTAAAAACAAAAATCATGAATTTTCAATCATACATCTAGAATCTTCCACTATTGTTGGAAAAATGTGTTGATATATTAAACTCACTGTTTTAATGACAACATGAAACTCTTATTTTTATTTTCATTAGTAGCAGTCACACTTCAATGAAGCAGAGCTTATATTTCTATGTTTCTTCAGTGGAATTCAATCCCTTAATGAATACTCTCTATATGCTTCTTTGACTACAAAGATTGGTATTTATTACAAGTAAGTATGCTTTCAAAGCAGGGGAATAAAAACTTTACATTTAAAATATGGTAGTAAATACTTACCAGGAAACCTGCTATGTAAGATAGCATCACAGTTATATCCATTGAATTGTGCAGTCACTGACAGCAATTTTCCAGACAGCAAAAGCAGGAGCCATATTTGTTCCATTGCAAAACCTAGGAAAATATTAGGCAGATCATATTTGAAATAAAAGGCTTCAGAACAGGATGCTATACTTGATCTGATTTTAGAAAGTCTACAGCAGACATGTCAAACTCATGACGTCACGTGACATCACACAACTTATCGGGACAGTTTTGTCATTGCCAGCAATGGGGTGGGCACGGCTTCCGGATGATGCATCCGGCCCATGGGCCGGCAGTTTGACATCCCTAGTCTACAGTATAAGTAAAGTATTCTTATAGAATGTGAATGTCTGCCTGTAATTCTTTAATTAAGAAAACTCTATTTTCACTCTTCTTGCATTCCATTCAAAATATTTTATTTTATAATTTCTTTTCTTTCAAAATAAAAAAAATATATTTTGTTTTAAATTCCTTTCTTTCTTACTGTGTACTTAATTCTATGTGGGACTATGAATAAAATGTTTAAACATAATTCTTTTATTTTCAGGCTTATAACAAAGAATGACTGGATTATTGTCAGTAGTGACAATTGATTTAATTGTTACATCACTTGTTACAATTGTTATATCACTGTTAAATATCACTTTTCAGGTCATTTAAAATAAATTAATAGTGACTAATATGCAGGAAACCTACCAATAAAAAGCTAGAACTTTTTAGTGTTTTGTTTAATAAAAATAACTGGCAATACATTTGTTAGGGAAATGCAAAATTAGCATTAACATAATTAAGTAGACTATATAGAAGCTAGGCTTTCTGCTTTATCAGATAACATGATTCAGACAAAAAAGTGGGGCATATACACCTTATATTTTTATATTTGCTATATCAATGGTAAGCTTCTATGCTCATTTTTACCTGTTTTTATCTTCATTAATGAAATAATGAGAACCTATTTAGTGGTTGAGGCACCGAGCTAGAAGCCAAGAAACTGTAGATCTAGTCCAGGGGTGTCAAACTCGCAATGTCACATGACGTGTCGCAACGTATCCTGACTTTTTTTCTATTGCCGGCAATAGGATGGGTGCGGTTTCGGCATGACGCATCTGGCCCATGGGCCAACAGTTTGACACCCCTGATCTAGTCCCTCTTAAGTCAGGAAGGCACCTGTATGACCATGGGCCAGCCACTTTCACTTAACCCTAGGACAGTGTTTCCCAAACTTGACAATTTTAAGGCATGAGGACTTCAACTCCCAGAATTCCACAGCCAGCAACATATTATAATATATTAACATTACAATATTACACATTTTATGTGTATCTGGTCCCATTTGGTTGGAAACATTTTGGCCAATGTAAATAAAAAACAAATGTTAAAAAAATAGTAGTTAGTAGAAATAATATATTTAACTTTTTAATTCATAGCATATTGTCAATATTAAAAGTAGTATTTATAAACTGAAGAATTTATTATATAAGGTATTATTCCTAATTATCAAAAAAAATATAAGTTTTATCACAGTACTACCAAAACCTTATAAGTGTCTTTCAGGTAATAACCTCACCAACAACACAAAATAGCCACCATTATTTGTTCAGACCACTAAAATCAGTCTATTATGCTGTTCAGAAACAATTTTTAAAATACTATATATGAAACATGATATTATTTAAGTATATTTATTAAGATCTCATCAGTATTGAAACAATAGAAAATAATACCACTATACTGAGTACTCATAATAAATATAAGTAAATTCAGCTGGAACTATCCCCATTCAGATCTGTTTGGATTTCCATCCTTATTTCTTCATGGTTTTGCTTTGACATTTTCCAAAGGTGTATGTTTTGGGAATATTTCTGCAATTACTAATAAGTACATATACCGGTACACTGGATATGTGGACGCTGAAAAGGAGCAAATGTCATTGTACTCACAGCTGCCATAATTAATTAACATTTTTAAATGCTCTGCATATTTCATTCTAATGAAACCACTTTGCTAAATTGGAAGCAGTCTGAAAACTTTGTGTAGTTTCCTTTGGGGATGACCCATAGATCAACATCAAATGCATGCAGATGGCTTTCAGTCTGACTGATACAATCTTTGGGATTAGAGTTTTGTGGAAGAAAAGCTGTTGCTGCTATCTCTCAAACAGTCAATACCAGACTGGAAAAATAAATACTATTCAGAGAACATGCAAAGATTCATAGGGTCAACATTCACTAATTGCAAATGTTTCTATAGATCAAAGTAATTGTCATGGTGCCTTTAATTATTCTGTATATTTCTGAGGAAATAAACAAAAGTATGAATATCTGTCTTTCATTAGCAGATGAAGGTTTAGCAATAATAATTATAATTCATTATTAAATTACGGCTATTGTATTATTGATATTGCATTACCTTTCTTCTCTGAGTTATAACAACTGAAATAATATAAAAGCAGGTAGAATAAATAATATAAATGTGAAGTCATTTTTTCTGAGTTTGAATGAAAAGGCTGCACCCCATTATTGCTTCACAGGTAATTATGATCTCAGGATTGGGAATATAAAATCTTGTCTTTGTTCATATAAAATCTAGCTGTAGCATTTCATATCCCAATCTAAACAACCAAAGTCATGAGTACCTCTGATATTTGTGTTTTCTGATATTTCATTAAGTATATAAAAATATTTCTTAGTTTTCATTATTAAAAAGTCAAATTTCATGGTTGATACTTTTTTAAAAAAATGTCTATTTTTATAGAATTTATTTATTTTAAATCTTGATCAGTATTCATTTTGGATTTAAGAGATACTTTGATCCTGGAAGCAATTGTTGAAATATGCTTTGCCTAATTTAAAAGGTGCTTAATTTAGCATCAAATGTTCTGTATAAATAATATGAATATGATAAAACTGTATGTACACTTTATTTTTTGAGAAAAATGAAAATCTTCCCAGAATACAGTGAAGCTTATTTCAAATTCATCTTTTCTATCACTTAAAATGTCCTTTAAAAATGTCAGAAACTGAATGATAGTTGGTTTATTATTCTTCCAATAACTGGATTAATATCCAGCAGTGACAGTAGAATCTTGTTTTAAAATCTCACATTGTAACGTTCCTTCCTTTGCCCTTCAATTTTGAGTACGTTAGACTGATAGCATAGTTGACATACAGATATCTGTTCTCCCTGATTCGCGGAGTTTTGTTTAGATCTTCATCATCATCTCAAAATGACTTCCACAATAAGGCCCTTCTGTGAACAAAAAAGTCCCGCTACCCAGCTAGATTTCAGAAGCACCAACTGAAAAGAAAAACAAACATTTCTGCCCATTGGAATTTTGACAGAAATTGATTTCACAATGCCCATTATAACTTCTAACATTGAATATAAACCGCATGATAGTGAAAAAAAGTTCAAAAACTGTTCACAATCTTTGATGTTTATTTAAAAAATGAGGTAATATTTTAAGTGGCTTCTATAAAAAGTCACTTACCCAAATCCTTTGTACCTGCTGAGTTAGCAATACTCCATGTATCCTGTTCTGCTACATGTAATCAAGTGTTAAACATCACAGCTTAACAGAACCTTTGCAGAAAAATTCACCAGTTCCTCAGAAGAGAAAAGAGGTACCCATTATGGATTTTTTTATTATTATTAATTATTTATTTAATATTTAGGTATGTCTGGATTTTAGATTGAAAGCTCTGTCAGGTCTGAAAAAAATTAACTGTCTTCATGCTCCGACTGAAAGTTGAGTAGGTTCTTTATGATAGCTTTTTTTCTGTTTTGTATCCCACCCATCCCCCCCTTCTTTTTTCTGATGCTTTTGATCTCCAGCTTTCCAAGGTAGAAATATTTCAACAGGTCTGTGTGGGGTAAGCAATCAATCTGGAGATATTATTCTGTCATCAGCACATTGAAAGAAAGTCTTATCTGTAGGAAAAAAAGATAAAAAGGGGAAAGAAATGAGCAGAGAGATAATATCGGTCACTAGCTCGCAAGGTTATCACTATACTGTTGTGCTTTGTGAGAAATTTCTAACTTCTTTTCAGTAGTGTTCATAGTCTACAACACAGTGGGAAGGAATGAAAATGCATTCGGTACTGAGATCAAATGAGATACAGGGCAGAATTTTTACTGTAAATATCATTGAAATAATATTTACTGTTTATTATAAACTAGGACAGATTTAATATGATTTGCATTTGTAGATAATTTGTATTTGCAAAATAAACCAACTTTAAGACATTATTGTCTTTTTACATGTTTCCAAATTTGTATTTTTAATGTAGTGATGCATAGTACTTGAGAATTTATACACAAAATTGTATCAGTTCAAAGAAACTATACAAAACAGCATACAACGCTAAAATTTGTCTATGAAAATTCACAGTCATCCAGGTCATGGTTGTCTCAAAGGTGCTTTTTTCATGAGGCAACTGGACTTATTTGTTTTTCTTTGAAGACTTTTCGTTTCTCATCCAAGAAGCTTCTTCAAGGAGCTGAAGAAGCTCCTTGGATGAGAAGCAAAAAGTCTTCAAAGAAAAACAAGAAAGTCCAGTTGCCTCATGAAAAAAAACACGTTTGGGATTGCTAAGATTTGTTTACAAAAAAATTGTTTACACAATTTTATGCCGATTTTTAGTTCACTTTTGTGGAATGGAAATGGGAAGAGGAAAAAATCTTTATTTGAAAATACATTAATATGATAGAAAATGAAACTGAGTTTTTCAATATGCATTGTCAGAAGGGATGAAAGGAATTAACATACCAAATAGGTTATTTCTGCCTTAGAAAGATTTAAACAATGATTTCATCCCTAAACCCTCAGAATTTTTCTTCAAAATAATTCCTCAAAATAATACCAATTAAAACTAAGGTGGCCCTCTGGCCAATAGATATTATACAATTCTGGTGAAATAAAATGGATAATATAGATAATAAACTAAAGTTTAATGTATAAATATAAACCTGTAGAAAAAGCTATTTTAATTGGAGTAGTCAAATATCCAGCCTAATATGGAATGTCAGTCCAGAAGAAATATAATAATAATAATAATAATAATAATAATAATAATAATAATAATAGTAGTAGTAGTAGTAGTAGTAGTAGTAGTAGTAGTAGTAGTAGAGTAGTAGTAAAGTTGGAAGGGACCTTGGAGGTAATCTAGTCCAATCCCCTGCTCAGGCAGGAAACCCTATACCATTTCGGACAAATGGCTGTCCAGTCTCTTCTTAAAAACTTCCAGTGTTGGAGCATTCACCACTTCTGGAGGCAGGTTGTTCCACTGATTAATTGTTCTAACTGTCAGGAAGTTTCTCCACCTGGTTCTCAAGCAAAATTTAAAAGAATGAGATGTAGGAGCAGAGAGAATTGGAAAAATACAAATTGCTGTTTTTGTTTTTCTAAAGTGTTAAGAAGAAATGAAATAAGGAGTACAGTTCTTTAATACAGATAGAAACTCTAATCAATTTGGCTAAGCTTGAAAAACTAAGTGGTGACTTAGTTAATGTTTGACTGGAACACTTAGTCTTCCAGTCAAACACTAACTAAGCCATCAAGAAAAATTAGGCTTGTGGAAGAGCATAACGGTAAACCATTTCTGTAATATTGCTAGGAAAACTGCATGGCCATGCATTCACAGATACTGAGCTGATCTCAAAATAGAATTAACCTTTTATAGTGTTATCAATATTTTTATGTTCACTATTCAACAGTTTTGTTCTATTTCATTTTTTCTTAATACTTAATTTTTACTCTGATTATTTCTTTTCACTTCTTGGGGCTTACTTTAATCATATGCAAGTTTATACACATTTTATTTTTTAAAGGAAAAAAATGCTACTTCCTGAACAATAAAAATGTACAGAACTACTTATAAATGCCAATAATAAGGTAGATCCTACCTACATGCTTGTAATCTATGTAGTCTTCTCTTTATAGATCTTGCACAGGAAGAAAAAAAACTGAGTCAGGAGGGAGAAAAATATCTCAAGTACTTGTTTTTATAATTAGAGCCAATAAGAATAAAAAATCTTCATGTAAATGGTGGAATGGTTGTACCCCTATAAAATAATAAATAATCTTCTTATCTTACAATTTCAGAAATTGCTCTGCAGGCATACATAATATAATTTGTACTCTGAGTTTCTCATTGAAAGTTCAAAATCCTTTTCTCATTTCAGCCAAAGATCAGATTCTGCAATTAGTAAAAACATGGATTTATTTTTCTTTTCCTTTTTTTCCCCAGCTTCAGCTTCACAGAAAGAGATGCCTGATTAAATGACTTGCTGCCAATGGAAAAAAAAATAGAATAGAAACCCACCAACTAATATATATACATCTTATATGTAAAAAGCAAGCTAAATTAAATTTCATAATCCTGTTAAATTTTTTCAAAACTTCACAACCCTAAATAACTTATCATTATCTCTCATGGTTTCAGCTATTATTCTTCCTTGCTAATTAGTTTATGAACAATTGTAATCATATGAGTTCCATTGGAAAAATTATGATGGGTGGCCAGGGGTTCTTTATTGAGGAAAGTCTTATTTCTGTTATTTATCTAGCATAAAAGTCACTATATGTTACCAAAATTCAGAATTTCAAAGGCAGTTATTAGATAGGTTCCATCACTTTTATCCCTTCTGAGCAACTCTCATATCCCTCTGCATGCTTCTCTTTTTTCATATTTAAACAACAGCAGAGATTCATTATTTGGAATGTTTAATTTATCACTTTTGGGGGGGGAATGGGAGACATGCATGATTTGTTCATAGGGACTGAGTCAAAAGAAGGAAAAGGTTGTTTTAATTTTATAGTGTGCTAGATATGACTGATCTTTTTGAAAAATGCAGAATGATTACTATGATACAGAAAACAGAACAGATTTGATTTCTGGGAAAAGCTTCTAACTTACCAAGATGGTAGACTGCTGTAACATCATCACCATCATCATAAAGTTGGAAGAGAACTTGGAGGTCATCTAGTCCAACCACCTGCTCAGGCAGGAAACTCTATACCATTTCAGACAAATGACTGTCCACTCTCTTAAAAACTTCCAGTGTTGGAGCATTCATAGCTTCTGGAGGCAGGTTGTTCCACTGATTAATTGTTCTAACTGTCAGAAGATTTCTCCTTAGTTCCAGGTTGCTTCTCTCCTTGATTAGTCTCCATCCGTTGCTTCTTGTCCTGACTTCAAGCGCTTTGGAGAATACTCCCTCTTCTTTGTGGCAGCTCCTGAGATATTGGAACACAGCTATCATGTCACCCCTCGTTCTTCTCTTCATTAGACTAAACATTCCCAAATCCAGCAACCGTTCTTTATATGTTTTAGCTTCTAGTCCCCTAATCATCTTTGTTGCTCTTCTCTGTACTCTTTCTAGATGGGTTGTACTTCACAAAAACTGGCAAAATATATTTGATCAAAACATGGAACAATTAAGAACATTTTAAACTATATGTAAAACTGAAAATCCTGCAGTAATGGCCACATGGTTTAACAGGTCCATTTAAGCAATACATACGATTCCTATAGATTTGTGATCTATAAAAATGAAGTGCTGCTGAAATAAGGCCTTTTAAACAATTGAAAATAGTAAAAATAACATGGCTTACAATATTCATCATCTTCACTGTTAATACACTAAGAGTATAAAAGTATGGGAAATAAAAATTAAATACTTAGTGTAGATGGTCAAATATGATTTAATAGATAATAAACAACTGGAGACTTCTCTGCAGAAGGAAGACAGCAACTGAAAAATAGTTCAAAAGGAACAGACTTAGTTAAAAGCAAACAGAAATTGCACTAAGTGCTAAGCATATCTATTCCTTTTCAGACGTTCAAATGGATAAACTTTGCAGTACTATAGAAATCAACTAGAACAAAATAAAATAGAAAAAAAATAATGGCAATGATGCTGTTAGTACCTACTAGCATGATCTTAACCAAAAAGGTGTGAAGGATATTTTCCAAAAGCAAATTTCAGGTATTTTAAAAATACTTACAACAGTTCGCTTCGTGACTGTTCAAAGTTACAATGACACTGAAAAAAGTGCCCTCCAAGCCACAGCCGAGCAAGACAGCGCCCGGTGGTACTCTTCCTCCTGTCCGAGGTTTTCATTGTTGTGAGCATTTTTGTTGAGAATTGGCAGGGGGGTGGGGGGGTGTTTGGTTTTTATTCCAACCATCCCCCCACCTGGGTGGTTGCAGCAGGTTTTGGTCACTTCACATGACCCTGGGACACTGTGACCGACATAAATATGAATCAGTTGCCAAGCATCTGAATGCAAATCACAAGACCCTGGAGATGCTGCAAAATTCCAGCTGATCAGCACTTCTTCTGAGCTCAGCAGAAGCATCAGGATCAGTGTGGCTTTCCAGCTGATTGGTGCTTCTTCAGGGCTCAGCAGAAGCACCAGGATCAGTGCCGAGCTCCAGCTGGAGCCTGGCGCTGATCCTGGCACTTTCACTGAGCCCTGACAGCCCTGCAGCTCCAGCCATCTCTCGCTCAGGCTTGTGCTGTGCCGCCACTGGTTCAGCTCATTCCCCTCCTCCACTACCACTTTTCTAGGATGGTCACATACCTTCTGCCAGGTGCCAATGTACCACAGGTGGTACCTGTACCACTGGTTGAAAAGCCCTGTCCTAGAGAGGTGGTATGTCCGCTTCATTGGTTATATTCAAGTGAAGGCTAGGAAACCATCTCTTAGGATCCTTTAA